AACTGCCCCCCCAAAAATTTTGAGAACTGCCCCCCCAAAAATTTTGAGAATCAAGCCATTCGGGCAAGGGATTCGCTCAGATTCGGGCAAAAAAGGATTATGTAACTTGATAGTTAAATAATAGCAATAGCGCATATCCTTAACTTGGCACTGCAAGACACTATGAGTGATGTGCAACCGCTCCGAAATGCACTAGGGACATTACAAATGTGTATAATTTCTTGGAGGTAAGTCCAAAACGCCATGCCGTGTTTAATTCTGTTAAGATAGATGGTGTCACCTTGTTCTCACACTAAAATCTTTGAGTGAAACGAAATGGTCCTGCAGACATGGGAAGCAGTAAAAGCAGTCACCGAGGAAATGCCGAAAATTATCAAAGCTCAAAGCTCTTCTCATTTTAGCAAAGGATAAGGATAAGGATACTATTAAGTCGTACATTGACAGCGTCGCCATTTTGAGTGCCATTTGTGATTTTGAATTCGTATTTGGCTTGATTCTTCTGAAGGTGGTGATTTTATCAAAAACAAGCAGTCTAATGGGATTTTTAGAAATATTGGCGGGAAGTGGGATTAATAAAAATACCATGGCGATATGCGGGAAGTAACCCACGATTAGCGGGATAAATCCGAACAAAACTAGCAGCCGTAGGTTAGCAGATTGTTGTCGGCATTTGTTTGTGTGCTCGAAATTTACTGTTTTCAAGGATGATATCGAACATTTGTCCCCCATCAACCCCCCATATACCCTGCGAGCAGAGTTTATGTATGCATGATTGCGGCTTTCATAGAGTCATTTATTATTTTAAACTTTGTTGTAATGTATTCTAGTGTATTCAAATTGTACTTTATGTCCTTATACCATGCATGTTCTTTGAATACCTGCTTATCCGTTGTCTACAACTAAATCATAATACGTTGAACAGTGCTAGAAAAAAAGTCGGGAGCGGGAAATTTTGACGAGGCATGGTGGGATAACGCGGGATTTGAAGTGAAAATCGGTCGGGATGGCGGGATTTCGGAACCTGGTACAGGGCCCTCCTGCAATAGTCAAAATATAGCAGAAACCTCTAGAACTGACTACCGCGGGATTTGCAAATAGTGCAATGAATACATGATTTATAGATGGTAGTAGTGCGTAGGAGTTTTATGGTGTAGTGAACTTTAGTCACAAGACGTGCACAATATCGCAATTCTGCTGTAACCTGATATCAGGAATTTAAAGTGTATTCAACTCAAACTGTAAACACAGACTCTGTATCTCGAAAGAGTTTGTCCGCTCTTCAAACGACTCGTTCCTGTTTATTTTGATCAAATCAAGAAATTCTAGCGATGTAAACAAACTGGACATAAACTTTACATCCTGAAGGAATAACATTTAATTAAGAGCCAAGGTAGAACCGAATTAGAGGAAACTGTATATAATCATAACTCATATCAGGGAGCTAAAAATAGAGGCAGGTCAAAACAACAACGCCACTTCAACGTTGGCTGGGGTTTTGACACCATGAATGTCGCCATAGACCTGAAAAGAAATTGACTAGAATTTTGTCTGATTATGAGGACTTTATCCGGCACATATTTGTGTCCGCGCAATAAACCTTTCCGCAATTTACGTCACAACTCAGGACCACCTTAAATGGAATAGATTTCAAGTTGTTTCTCACGGCCTTTGATCAGAAGCAGAACATCTTTGTCACATGCACAAAAATCATTTTGATTTTGACTATTGAATGGACATAAGCAAACACGAAACGAGGCGCTGAGGGGCTATGGCGCCTTTGGCCATGGCAGTAGAAGCTTATGCACAAACCTGTGCTGTCACGTTAAAGTCACCATGTACTATTTAAAATACGAGCAGGATTGCTTTATCAGATATAAAACTCGAGGCGACAGCCGAGAGTTTTATATCTGATAAAGCACGGACTGCGAGTGTTTTAAATGGCTTAAAAAACGACCCATCTTATGAGTTCATTGGCGAAGTAATTTTAAAACTATAAACGTTGTCTAAGTCGAGAAAATCAAAGCTAAAGTTTACAGGATTTTTTATCAGATATAAAACCACCGACATGCTAGTGATTTCCTTTGTCTTTTCTTTATGAATTATTGAGTTTTTAAAGAGATTTTTGAATATTAGTACAAAACGATATCTAACATCTCTTTTCTTATGTTTCTCAAGATGTTCATTGATTATAAGACAGACATGGGATAAAAAGAGCTTTTAAAATTAAATTCTTGATGTGAATAGAAAATGGCGTCATACGACACTGGATATGAAGACGAACTATTTCAACATCCAGTCGGCCCGAACTCTCATTGTGGTATTTGCTATAATGTTGTTAAAAACCCCGTTATGTGTCGTCATAATGAACATCTGTTCTGCCGAGCTTGTATCACCCGATATCTCATGAACTCTCAGACATGCCCTTCGTGTTTGGAACCACTCACCGTCGGCACTTTGAGCCAACCATCGCAGACCATAATGAACTTACTGTCGGAATTGAAAATTCGTTGCCAATTCTTCAATCGTGGTTGTGAAACGTTTATTGAGTTAGGAAATCTGGACAGGCATGTCGCAGACTGTGGGTTTGCCCCGGCAGTCTGCTCTAATGAAGGTTGTCGACTTGAAGTAAATAAACAAGATTTATTGCGCCATGAAACAGCTGTGTGTGAACTACGCAGAGTTCAATGTCATAACTGTAATGACATACGACAGGAGATGGATGTCGTGAAAGTGAATTTGGCAGCAGTGAAAAAAAAGTTGACGGAAGTTGGTGAAAAGTTGGATAGAAACGAGAAAAAGTTGGATATAAATGGGAAGAGTTTTGAGACAAACGTGAAAGCAGTAAAGGATGAAGTGGTTGCAAAAGTTGAACTTGTTCAAGAACAACTTAACAAGCAGGAAGAAAGCAATCGTCAGCTTAAGGAGGAAAAGGTAGAAATGAAGAAAAGTTTAAACGAAATTACGAAACAACTGGAAAGATTGACACAACAAACATTGCATGAAGTTCAGGCTGAACAAGAACATGAAAAGAAAGGAATTGCAGAAGCTCATGGAATGGACAGAGAGCCGAAGGTTGTTATAGCTGGAGGCTGGAATGGCCAAGAAAGTTTAAATTCTGTGGAAATGTTCAGTTTCTCCAAGGCAACATGGGAACTACTACCGCCGATGAAAGAACCCCGTCATGCAACATCTTCAGTTGTTTACAACGATCAAATTTTTGTCATTGGAGGTTATTGTAACGGTCGTCCAATCAAGACAATGGAAAAATTATCAATGAATGCTGTTGAAGTTGACCAGTCCATATCTTGGGAAAACTTTTGTGTTGAATTACCTGCACGAATGTGGGGACATTGCTGTGTAGTTTATAATGAACGGTTGATAATGATTGGAGGTGATGATGTTGATAAACGTGCATATTCTGATAGTATTGCTGAGATTTCCCTTGTTCCACCTCATACCAGTAAAGTGCTGGCTACCATGCCTCAGACAAGGTGGTTCCACAGTGTTGTATTGTTTGGTGGTAAAATCGTAATTCTTGGAGGGAGGAAAGATTTTTATTCACCCACAAATCTTAAAAGTGTGTTGTATGATATTGCTGACAATGAATGTAAGGAGTTAGCACCCCTACCTTACCCCGTGAGTAACATGGCCGCAGTCAAGTGGGATGATGATAATGTTATTCTGGTTGGTGGATTTGACAGTGATGGTAAACCATTAAACAAAGTTTTAATGTACAACATCAAGACCCAGAACAATCGCATGTTACCAAATATGAAGTATAAGAGGCAAGGATGTGTGGCTGCAGTTGTCAGAGACACTGTGATTGTCATGGGAGGCAAAGATGAAAGAGGAAATTACCTAAAGTCTGTAGAATGTTTTAGATTCGATCGCTTCACCTGGGAAGAACTTCCAGAATTGAAGGAAGCAAGATACCTCGGCACCGCAGTCGTATGTTAGTCATGTACTGTATATAATTACAGTAAAATCCTGCGCATAAGAACCTACTATTTTTCACGTTAGGGTGAACAGGTTCTTACATATTTGATCAGAATATTAAGTTGGATTTCATGACTGTTCGGTTTCTGAGAAAAAATGGATGTCTAAATGGCAATTTTATACACGGGATTCACTGTATTAACAATCAATCTTTATTTGTAAACATGTATCAAGGATATATGCTTTCTGGACACATGAGAATGATCTAGATTTGATCGTTATCTCTCGGAATAATTTTCAGAAACGCTCCAAACAAGATAACTTACAAGGCTACTGCATTCGAATGTAAATAATTTATTTAAATTTAATTTTTGCTCGAAATTTTCAGGTATTAAAATCATTTCAATATTTGATAATAATGCTATCTTGTATTAACATGTTTAAATTCTTAGTGTTTGTACTGTTCAAATTGACTAGTGTTTAAACTTGCAAAAGTCCCCATGATGTTCCTGGAACCGCGGATGCATCTCTGTAAAAAACAATTGGTTAAAACAACCGGAAATTAATTGTCTCAGATTTAAAATGGATATGAGACAACCAATTTCTAAGTTGTTTTAACCAATATATTTTTACAGTGTTTATCTCGCTCGAAAAATCGAGTCTTCTATTCGGTAATGTGATTTCATTCCTATGCCTAGTATTGCTAAAATGTCAAACTATTATTGGATAATCTCAGTGTAGTTTCCCGCAGATCAATTAAACGTTGGCCATTTACATGATGTCGATTCGCTTTCGCATTCAATACTAGACAACAGTCTGATGTGTATTAGAATGTCCAACCTTCGTTCATTTGTCAGGTACCAGAGTAACGTTCTCGATTCCTGGAATGCATGAAATATTTTCCTAGAAATGGTGATTTGATTCTGTGTAGCCTGTAAGTACGGTGTTTTGAGACTAAAAATTACATGAAAAAATTTCTCAATTCTGATTGGCTAAGATCAGTGCCATTTTTTCGAAATACAGTGCGAAAAAATGAAAGGCTATGCTCCATAATCAGACATCAATTTTACTGTTCACTGGCAAATATTATATTTTTGTATCTACGTAGACTCTACGTATACTGTGAGGTTGATAAAAGTGAAGAATAAAAGTATGAATCTGAAATCATTTGTCGTTACACAAAGCAATTTTCCATGCAGCTTGGAACCCAATTATTGTTCTGGCCCAAAAAAATAAAGCTGAGGCACGCTGAGGCATTCAAATTCTAACAATACGTTATTTCAATAGTTTTGGTTTTTGGGAGACACCCTGTATTGCAGGGGCATTTCAAATAATCTGGGAAACTATAACCTCAAGTTTTAAGGACTAACTAAGGGGAGTTGGGTGTGCTAATCATCCTTACTTCCAGCTGAGAGATATTAAGCTGCATTACAAAGGACGCATCTCAACCTGATGGAGTGAAGAGTTGCTAAGAGTGTCTCTGGTTGCCACTGTAGATATTGGATAAGCAATACTTTTATTGTCAAAACCTACATCTATAATTAATTTACTGACAATTTCTGCTGTATACTTCAGCCTATTGCATGAAATTATACGAAGAACATGAGGGTCACAAGACTTGCACAAGGACAATGTCGAAATTTTAATGTGTAATTCAATATTCAGGAATTTAAGGTTTATTCTGCTCAAAGTGAAACTAAGCACAGACCCTGCAGTATCTCGAGCGATTTTGTCTGCTCTTTCAAACGACTTGCTTCATTCCCTTTCTTCGATCACAAGTCAAGCACAGTGTTTCAAATTCTAGCGATGTAAATAAACTGGAAGTTAAATTCTAGATCTTGAAGGAATAAAAGCCACGGTAAGAATCGAATTAACTAATTAATTTAAGTAATATATAATCATAAGGAAGCTAAAATATTAGACATATCAAAACAACAATGTCACTTCAGCCATATATCTGAAAGGAAATGGGTATTTAGAACTTTATCTTTGGTTTTAGATGTGGGGGCTGACTTTGTTTAGAAAGGTAATCTACAATTACAAATAGCAGATTTGGTTTATAGTCATATTCGTTGATGCAGAACCGCCATTGACATGTAGTCATGTTAGTGCATGCTTTCACAAATAATTGATGTAATATACCAGATCCGGCGAATGTGAGGATTTTACCAGATATCCAGTTCACGCAATTAGTTCAGTACGAGGTTATACTTAAAGTGAGGTGAATTTAATCCAGTCCAAGGACTGAATTAATTTTCATTCAGTCCTTGGATTGGATCAATATATTTCACCAGATATACCGTAGTATCATGTGAGCGAAATAAAGTAATATGTACTATTTAAAACACGAGCTAGCAGGAGTGCTTTATCACATATAAAATACGCTGGGGCGTAGGAACATGGGGGGGGGGGCACGTGTCCTCCCCCCTCAAAGGAACAAAAGTGCCCTTTTTTTGTGATGAAAAGTGTCCTTTTTGTACAAGCTAGTGTCGCTGTAAATACTAAATTAACATCAAAGGTGCCCTTTTCGTTTGGAAATTTCGATGTTTTAAAAACAATTTGGTCAAAAACGTGCAATTTCGGTATAGTGTGCCTAGAAAATTTTTCTTCCTCCACGTCGCCAACAATTCCAGGAAAACTTTTTAAGATGCCCTTTTCAGTATCCAAAAGTGCCCCTGGAATCCGCCCCCCCCCCAATCTTTTGATGCTTCCTATGCCCCTGAAAATACGAGAGCGCAGCTCGAGTGTTCTATCACAGAATAAGGTACACAGAAGGTCGACCCGAGTAACCGCTGCCACGCCATGATTCATCATCAAAAATGCTGACGCCATGGTCCTAGCCAGTGCGCGTTTAAGAGGCATTCCCCCCCCTGGACGTCCGACATTTTGAATATTGTCAGGGGGGTGAATGCCTCTCAAACGCGACTGGCTAGGACCATGGCGTCAGCATTTGATGACGAATTACGGGTTACGCCAAAATCATTGGAAAATCATAGGGAAAACCAAGAAGTCGGCCTTCTGTGTACCTTATTCTGTGAGTCTATATAACCTAGTTTCCATTTGGTCGTTAGTTGTTTCTGGCACGGTGGCTGATGTAATAGAGTGTCAACAAAACTTTATAAAACTCTGCAATCATTAAGACTGATTTGCATGTAACACACAAACAGACTATTATAATATTAGACTATTTCACATCGTGCCAGCGACAACTAACGACCAAATGGAAACTAGGCTTATCTGATAAAACACGGACTGCGAATGTTTTAAATGGCTTAAAAAACGACTCGTCCGATGAGTTCACTGGCGAAGTAATTTTAGAAATAAACCTTTTTTAAGCCGAGAGAATCAATGCTAATATTTATATAAATGAACATAATTTTTCATCACATATAAAACCGCCGAGAGATGATATAATGATTATCATGAATTACTAATGACTTTTTTGAGGTTCGTTGATTTATAATTACTCATGAGTTTGAGATTTTTCCGTATTAGTGTTTCATATTAGTGAACATAAAGTGGCTCGATATGGTTTTTCAAAACTGGAAAATTCACGATTTAGATCCGTATTTTTGGAGAATTATTACTTGTTGAAAAACAAAAATATCTTACTGAAATAACACAACATCTAAAGGGTTTCAAGTTTTTCACAAAGACTACGCAACTGCCGTTCCTATGACAACAGTGCCGTTTCAAAATGACGGATTTTTTTTGCTTTAAAGTAATTCAACTCGTAAACGACATCGGTGACCTCCAATTTTTATTTCATAAAATGATTCCCTTTAGTATACTCAATTAGTTTGACATTTAAAAAAAAATTGTTTAGCCAAAATTTTTCAAGTTACGTAAATGTGATTATTCATAATATTTTTTTTTGACTGAGCAGAATTTTTTTGTAATTGTCAAAATAATTGAGTATACTAAAATAAATTATTTTAAGGCAAAACTTAAAGTACTTTAAAGGCAAAATGTCCGCCATCTTGAAACGTCATTCTTGCTATAACAACGGCAGTTGCATAAGGTTTGTGAAAAAAATTGAACCCTTTAGGCGTTGTTTTTCATCAATAAGGTACTTGCTTTTCAACAAGTAATAATTCTCCAAAAATATGGATCTAAATCGTTAATTTTCCATTTTTTCAAAAGCTGTATCGAGCCACCTTAAGCAAGCGACGTTTTTGTGAACACGGACGTCGCGCGAAAAATGATATAACTCATTCTGGCGGCATTTTTGCATCATAGCGTTCATGTAAGAAACTGCAAAAAAAACTATAAAAATCTTAAACTGACACAAACACAGTTTTTAAGATCCAGTCCCCTCTCGACAATCTGACGTCCGTATTCACAAAAATGTCCCTTGGTTAAGCTTCCTATTAAGTATAAAACGATATCTAACGGCATCTCTTTTCTTATATTTCTCAAGATGTTGATTATAAGAAAGACATGGATAAAACTCGTGATCATGAATTCTTGAAGTGAATAGAAAATGGCGTCGTACGACACTGGTTATGAAGACGAACTATTTGAACATCCAGTCGGCCCGAGCTCTCATTGCGGTATTTGTTACAATGTTGTTAAAAACCCCGTTATGTGTCGTCATAATGAACATCTATTCTGCCGAGCTTGTATCACCAGACATCTCATGAACTCCCAGACATGTCCTTTGTGTTTGGAACCACTCGCCATCGAGACTTTGAGCCAACCATCGCGGACCATAATGAACTTACTGTCGGAATTAAAAATTCGTTGCCAATTCTTCAATCGTGGTTGTGAAACGTTTATTGAGTTAGGAAATCTGGAGAAGCATATTAGAGTCTGTGGGTTTGCCCCGGCAGTCTGCTCTAACGAAGGTTGCCGACTTGAAGTGAATAAACAAGATTTATTGCGCCATGAAACAGCTGTGTGTGAACTACGCAGAGTTCAATGTCATAACTGTAATGACATACGACACGAGATGGATGTCGTGAAAGTGAATTTGGCAGCAGTGAATGTAAAGTTGAATGAAGTTGTTGAAAAGTTGGATAGAAATGAGAAAAAGTTGGATAGAAATGAGAAAAACCTGACAAGAACTGTGGAAAACATCGCAGTAGTCGTGGAAAATGTGGATGCAAAAATTGAACTGGTTCAAGGACAACTTAGCAAGCAGAAAGAAACGAATTGTCAGCTTAAAGCAGATAACGTAACAATGAAGGAAAGTTTAAACAATATTACAAAACAACTGGAAAAAATAACACAACAAACATCACATACAGTTCAGGCTGAGAAAGGGAAGAAAGGAATTGCGGAAGCTGGTGGAATAGACAAAGAGCCGAAAAATGTTATTTCTGGAGGTTGGAATGGTGGGATGTTAATTCTTTGCACTAGACTCAGTTTCACTAGACTCGTAAAAACGCAAAAGTTGTAACAAACCTGCGGCAGACTTGTAGCAATGCCGTTCCAACAACTTGTTAACAAGATATGTTCGCACTGCTTGTTCCCAACTTGTTGACAGCTTCATGATTTTTTTTCTGTTTTGGTGACAGCTTGCTACAAGGTTGCAATTGGTGAGCTCAACAGACTTGTTACGGGTTGTCCCAAATGAATCTATTTAATATACATATCTCCCAATGGATTAGATTTTGTGAGGGGATGGCAAAATTGAAAAATTTCTTAATTGTCGAAAGCAAATAAAGGCCTTTTTCTGGAGGAGTACTAAAATTTTTTCTTTTAAATTCTATTGTTTAAATAGTAAATTTCCAAATTTCAAAAGGATCTACAAAAAAATTTTATGGCAAAATTTCTAAATGGCCAAGAATATTTTAGACCTCATCCATAGGGGTATTATATGGAATGCCTTATAAAGAATACCGAGATTATTACTGTTCCGTCAGGTATTTCAGAATAGCTGAATAATGGAAATTTTGTCCTCGGCAGGTTAACAACAAAATGCCCCTAGCTCCAAAGCTGCCCCCAAAGCAACAATTTTCTTGATGCAAGATTGCTTAATCGACAATAAAATCCTAACTGCATCAGTGCCGGATAATATGCAATAAAACATAATATATCGTAAAACACCGCTTCTCCCGTTTTACAATCATGAGTCATAGGGAAATTTTTATGATGTTATAGAGCCCCCTGAGAAAGTTTCGCCCTGGGCGTCCCGTAAAGTAAAGTCAATTGCTATTAGCCATTTCCCAAAGTCCTGGGTCTAGTCGCGCAAATCCCATGTTGGAGGGACAAGAAATATGACAGCACACATTTTAATTAAAAGTTTAATATAAAAAGGAAATCTTTCATTTTTGGTCTACTAAAAAGTTGATATTTGATGGTAGAGACGTCTATTCTTTCACATATTTGACGTCTGGCACCATATATTTTGTCCCTCCAAACGATCCCAGAATGCACTGTGATCTTTTGGGGAAAATGCTCATTAGGAAACTTTAAGGAAGAATAATTAATTAACGTCTATAGCGGTTAATAGTTTAGTCAAAGGACTGGATTCCAAATTTGGGACATGATGATTAAGTTCTACAATGTTTGGAATTTTACTTTTAGGAACTTCGAAGTTATCAGTTGGTATTTCGAATAGAATGAAAGGAAGAACTACTACTACTGTTACTTCGCCCATGTGGCCGGCAGCTTCGGGCGTTCTGAATGATGTAGCATCTGTCAAGTGGATTAAATCCGAAATTTTCAAAGCTCAAAGTGGATTGTGGGCCACCAGATTGGAACACCTGTACAAAGAGAAATTCAAGAAAGTTTTACCAGTGAGTTTCATACAAGAACTGAAGTTTAGACCTGATATTGCGACAGTCGAGGAACCAATTTCTGGACGGTATTTACTTTACGCTCCACGAAAGCAGCAGGTATGGCAGAGGTGCAGTCTGCAGTGGTGCCTATAAATTACTTTGAATTTGTGCTCGAGTAAAAGTAGAACTGAAGTAATTAACAATAAAACTACTTGACTAACAGTAAAAAAGTATTGGAGGCAAAACATACTTAAGTAAAAAGTACAAAGTATCCTTAAAACATACTTGAAGTAAAAAAGTAAAAGTACTATTGTCTGTAGCGTGTGGGGATTTGTACTCGAGTAAAAGTAGAACTGAAGTAATTAACAATAAAACTACTTGACTAACAGTAAAAAAGTATTGGAGGCAAAACATACTTAAGTAAAAAGTACAAAGTATCCTTAAAACATACTTGAAGTAAAAAAGTAAAAGTACTATTGTCTCAGAAGCGTAGATTTGAAATTGAGCAAGCAACTCCAGGCTAATTCAAATGGGTATAAGTAACAATAAAACTACTTGACTAACAGTAAAAAAGTACTGGAGGCAAAACATACTTAAGTAAAAAGTACAAAGTATCCTTAAAACATACTTGAAGTAAAAAAGTAAAAGTACTATTGTCTGTAGCGTGTGGGGATTTGTACTCGAGTAAAAGTAGAACTGAAGTAATTAACAATAAAACTACTTGACTAACAGTAAAAAAGTACTGGAGGCAAAACATACTTAAGTAAAAAGTACAAAGTGTCCTTAAAACATACTTGAAGTAAAAAAGTAAAAGTACTATTGTCTGTAGCGTGTGGGGATTTGTACTCGAGTAAAAGTAAAACTGAAGTAATTAACAATAAAACTACTTGACTAACAGTAAAAAAGTATTGGAGGCAAAACATACTTAAGTAAAAAGTACAAAGTGTCCTTAAAACATACTTGAAGTAAAAAAGTAAAAGTACTATTGTCTGTAGCGTGTGGGGATTTGTACTCGAGTAAAAGTAAAACTGAAGTAATTAACAATAAAACTACTTGACTAACAGTAAAAAAGTACTGGAGGCAAAACATACTTAAGTAAAAAGTACAAAGTGTCCTTAAAACATACTTGAAGTAAAAAAGTAAAAGTACTATTGTCTGTAGCCTGTGGGGGGGGGGGCTTCTCCAATCCTACTATGTGCCAAGTGGCAGGGATTGAACCTGCGCATGGTCCTGCGACTCCGGGGCGGCGCCATTGAACTATAAATAAACTGGAAGGCTAACTGCTATGATGAAGGCCTATGATTTGATGAAGCCAAAATAGTTTTTCTTAGTTATGAGCAGAAATAGTTGACCCCAAACGTTGGGCCATATATCAAATTGAAGCTATTGAAAATTGCTATTCGGTGTGGAAATTTCAAGACTTCAGCGAAAAGAAAACTATTTAAAAGATACAAAAACAACTGCAAAATGGCAAATTATCGGTAATTTTGTTTGTAGTTTTTCAATATTTCTTGAAATATTGAAATTTCCTAAAGTCTTGAAATTTCCACACCAAATAGCGTTTTTCAATAGCTTCAATTTGATATATAGCCCAACGTTCAGTGTCGAGTATTTCTGCTCATAACTCAGAAAAACTAAAATGCACTGGCCTCAATCCCCCCCCCCCCTGAGTTAGCCTTCCAGTTTATTTATAGTTCAATGGGCGGCGCTCGATGATTTCACTTCAGTCGTATGTGAGAAGAGTACTTTCAATTTGGCTCTACCAAACATCACAGAAGGCACAGATTTTCAATGGATATTCGAGTTTGGGTTTTCTCTTGTAGCAGTAGGGGAAATGGTTTATCTGGATCTCTAGGGAGAACTGTTAATTTAGCACCGATGGAGTTATCCAGCATAAATAAAGTTGATTTAGTTTAGCTTTCCTCTTGTACTGTACTGACACTGGACCAATAAGAGATGTCCCTTACCAGACTTCTAAAGAGAACAATTTAGAACTGATAGATCTATGTAATAAATATAGTTGTCGTTAACAGTAGTTTCGGGCTTTTTAACCTTTTTTCTATAGGGAGAACAGTTAATTTAGCACTGGAGTTATCCAGCATAAATAAAGTTGATTTAGTTTAGCTTAGGGCTTTAGGTATCAGATGAACTTGTCCCTTGGACCCCCCCTCATAAAATATGTACGCATAACTCACCAACCCTTAAAATTGTTTGTAAAGTACATAGTTTAATTACATTATAATTATTCAGGCAAGTTTGTCCAAACAATTAATTTATTACAAGTGTAAAATAACCCTCAGTGTTACAAGTATGTGTTTTAATTATCTTACAGCCTCCTCCAACCAAGACAAACCAACGACATCAGACTCAAGTGAATGTAAATCCAGACTTTGCTCTGCCATACTTCCTTCCAGATGTTGGGTATGCTCTTTTGCTTTTTTTATTGAGTTTCATTTGAGATCATCAGCACTTTTGGGTAATATTAGCTTGACTGATATGCCATAAGTTTGTCAGCAAGTTACTTCAATTTTTCAGAAAATCAATTGTTGTCTACATATCTCATACGGAAAATCCGAGTTATTTCTACGTGAGTCGTGCAGATGCAATATCGGAAATGTTGAGTGAGGAAATACTGAGTCATTACAAGGTAAATGTCTGGTAATTTATTTATTCCTCAAACTGATTAACAAGCAAACCACAAAGAAAATCCGCACCGTATCGTTGATTTGAAATACCGGACAGCTTCATTTGAGAAGTTTGAGAGAAAGCCATTTCTTTATTCCCCAATGAATCTGACCGACCATTGTTCTGATCTTTTCATTCCATAATGTCTCTGACCAGCTCTCTTTTATTTCTTATTTATGTCCTACTATCTCATCCTTACTTATTTCACCTTCTCTGGAATGTCTACATACATTGTTTGATTTCTTCATTCCATGATGTTTTCACTGGCCATCTTTGATCTCTACTTATGCATATCAATACCGTGTCAATGTTCATCTGATGATACTAAATGTCATCGCGCTGTTCGTAATCTTCATGATCAAGACAGAGAAATCCGGCCTAAAATCAGATCTTAGCAATACTACCAATTGGTGTAAAGACTGGAGCCTGGAGGATGGATTTAAATAATTCCAAATGCGGAGTACTTTAATTTACTCGTTATCTCCAACCTACTATCAACCAACCAGTACACATTAGTTGTCATCCTTGTCAAACCTTTTATCTGTGTAAAAGATCTTGGCGTAAGTATCACCAAAGATCTGAAGTGGAACCAGCACGTGCAAGATCTGAAGTGGAACCAGCACGTCCTCAAAAGCTAACAAAATGCTAGGTTTTGTCAAGAGAACAACGTCAAACTAGCTGACGTGACCTAATGTTTTTAATGGGCTGCATGATGGCGTTATTGGATGTTGAAACCTAGTTGAAAACCAAATTCTCAAAAACAGCATGTTTAGCAATAATACAGCTAAACATTTTAGTCAAAGAGCAAATGAATATAACTACGCCATTCTACGATGAAATCTTTAAGTATTCCCAGTCAATTTTAGCAAATATTTCAAGCACTAAACAGTAAAAAAGGCATCCCAAATTTCGTTAAAATTGGGGACGCCAATTTCGTAGCTACAAATGTAAAAAAATACAAAACAAAGACGAAAAACATTTACCCTGAAT